AGCCTTCTCCACAGCTTTGAGCTCCTCAACTCAACATGGTTTAGACAATGAAAGTTGTCTGAGTGATATAATCCACAGTTTTTTTCTTTTGGCAGGTATGCATGATGACTCTGGCTGGTGCTCAGGTTGCCTGGATACAGAAAGTCCAACGGAGACAGAAAGAAAGTGATGTTCGGGGCAGAGAGGAGAGGAAAGAGAGGCTCTGGTTTCCTGCATTTGCCGACTTTGATGATGAATAAACCAGATGGTTAAAATCGTGAGAACATGCAGGAGGATTCTGCACCAACACTGTGAAATTTACAGCAGGTCTCAGAAGGCAGAGTAACTACCAGCTCATCTGAGACAAAAGGACTGTATGCTGAAGCTCTCTCAGGTGAATAACTGTTACAAAAGTCTGACACTGAAAAACAATTGTAGAAAGATCTCGAGGAACCAAAAGACAAGACCCATAATGTTGTGCAAAGTTGCTTATTTTAACATTTGGGACAGAAACATCCTCTGGAGATGACGCAAGAGTCCGATCCTCAGGAGAACAAAGTAGAACCAGGAATCTAAAATGTTAGTGGGAGAGAAAAATACAATTTCCTTTGAACTGTCTTCAAGGTCAGGGTTTCAGACTTTACATTAGGCCTTTAAAAGGTGCTCACCATAGTGGGAAGCTGTTAGAGGTGTTCTGGACCCCCAACTGGACCCCATCCTAATCCCACCTGTTCCTACTTCCCTTACTAGGTCATTATTGTGCTTTTAATCTGAGGTGGATTAGTAGCAGGAACATCTGTGACTGTTTGTTGCTGCAGGGCTGCAGTCATGTGCACCCTCATGCTTGCTTTATTGGATTAATGACATCAGGGTGTAGAGGTGTGAGTGTTTGTTGTGTAGGACTGACTATAGTCCATCATAACCTGGCCTTTTGTGCTGGACCATGGAGTAAGATGTATGTAGTCTTAATTTTACCAAAAGCTAACACAGGTAAAGAAAACTGAGAAGAGCAGTTTTATTTAATACACTCAGGAAAACTACTCTCCATGGTTCTATGCATGCAGATTCAATACTATGTGCCCCTCAGTATGTCCGAACATGAGTACATGCTCCTTCTCTGCACTTGTGGCTTGCTTTGTATGCATCTGTAACTTTTCTCCTACTTGCATGTGATCAGGTTTTTGTGTGCTAATGTCCACTTTTGACACTTTAAGTGAGGAAGCAATGAGAGAAACTACTTTTCAGGAAAATCCTGCCTCTTCAGACACATCTGTTTTCCTCCTATTTAGAAATTTTGACAATGTCATTGCCCATTTTGTCAACAAAATGGTCGCTGGAAAGAAAAAAACTGGGTAAAAGTTACAGCAAACTGATTAGAAATTCAAATGTCTATGTTTAACTACAATTATGAGTTAAATCAAGCCTCACTTTACGGAATATAAACAGTGAAGCTAACATTAGCTTTGCTTACACAGAGTTCCAAATAATAATTTGAGAGCATTGCTACTGCTGCTTCTTTCACAGCTGAGTTTAACCATGTTATTTAATAACTTAACTCTCCATTTTTTACTCTTTAAGAGAACAGAGATTACCCTAAATATTCCCTGCTGACATTACTAACCAGAACTAACAAGAAAACAGTGGTCTCAAGAGACGGAATTTCAGAAATGTAACCAACTACGGCCCTTTTCCTTTCTCATTTCCGTTCCACCCTGAGAGTGACAAAAGCTGACAAGTGCACAGAAGCAGGTCCCCAAACAAGTAGGAGAGACGCATAAAAAGCACGATATATGACAACACTTTATCATAATACACTTCTTTATGAAAGCCCAGAAAGCCCCCCAAAAAAGGGTGTGCAAAGTTCTAAACATTATCATGTCAAGTCCATAAACTCCTGCATTATAGCAATTTAGAAATTGTTTAAAATAAAAAAGGGGGGGGGGGGGGCATATTGAACCAGGTGATTATCTTTTCCTCTTCATATTTCTCAGTTCATTGCTTCTTGGCTCTTTCAGTTTTTTTTTTATCATCGCTTTGTTTGTTTAGCTTACCTGTGTATGTTTTGGAAACAAATTGCTCATATACGTATTTGTTATTCATGTGCACTGTTATTTAATCTGTTTATTTTATCTCCTATGCCAAGATGTGTGTATTAGGATGGTTTACTTAAAAAGTAGGGTGCAATGAGGTTAAAGATTGTTTTTATCAAGCCCTTACAAATGAAGTGTGAGTATGTGGATGACTCTGAATCATCTGCATCTAAAGGAAGACAAGTCGACGTCTTTTATCTCAAACCTTCTAATCTCCCCGTTAGAAACCTGGGACTCATTCTGGACAGTAGCTTTAACACTGACAAACAGATAAAAGTTAAAGGCACACTATGCAACATTTTTCAGTTAATTAATGTGTTCCATAACGTTTTGGATGATTAAATGAGTCATTTCAGGTTGAACAAAGATATTCTCGGCCGCCCTGGTGGTCTGTGGGGGAAATACCGCACTTGCAATTGCAGGAGCACCGACCCGCACCCACAGGCTCAGAAGTCTCGCGAGAGTCAGTCTTGCTTTACGGCGAGAACTGCTACACCCCCCAGTTAAAAGCATTCTCGTTGCTAGCACAGTGGCGGTCAATAAATCCAGAAAGACAGTACTTAAAATCATGTCATCTTATTTTCAGCAAACTGGACTAAACCTAAGGATTTAAGGAAACATAAATAAGATCAAGTAGGTGGCGATAATGCTCCATTTGGTTGCAAGTCGCCAGTAAAACAAGAAGAAGAAGAAGACAGTGGCGATCTTTGTGCAGTGATGCTTTCACACCGGACGCAGCAAAATCGCGTCTGCTGCTTCATTTTTACTGCTTGTACCAGTTAGTTCTGACGCGCGGCTGAAGCAGCTTTGCTGCTCTGGCTGCAAAAGTGTGTCTGATGCGCGTTGGGCGGAGCTTCACTATCCTTTCTCTGCCTTGTAGCTATATTTGCTGTGATCAGTGGGAATAAAGTAGTTTTAATATGTGTTTAAGTGAGAAAATACACCTGAAAACGTAATCAGTGCAGTCAGTTCATTCAGATTATTATCCTGCCTTCAATATTTTTTCTGTCGGAGCCGCTCAGACCCCCACATACCAGCAGTGCGCCGACAGTAGGAATCCCTTCATCAGCAGCCTCTGGCCGGGTCGCCTCCTCGCGGTTCACCGCGGCAGCTGGTAGGTGTTTTTCATCTAAATAATCCAAACTGCAGGCAGCAGGATAATAAAGGCCAACATATTCTGCCGGCAGATTTCTGCATTTTAAGTTAATTTAGGCGTCAATAAACTGTTTAAGAGGAGTGATCGTAGCGCTCTGATCATCAGCGCTGTGTCTCCCAGCCAGCTCCCAGATCAGCTTCTCTGATCAGTTGACGCGGCGCGTCAAGCAGCAAAAATTCAATTTTTTTCACCTGGAGCAGCAGCGCGTTTGCGGCGCGTCAGATGCTTAGTCATTCGTTGCGTTCGCCTGTCTGCTAAGCTCAAAACAACCGCGCCTGGCTTGACGGAGAAACCAGGAGAACAGCTGTGCATATTTACGACAGTGCACTTTTACTTTCGCCCTCTGGGGGGAGCCTCGCTGGAAAATCAACACCGGTTGCATAGTGTACCTTTAATGTGATAGCAGAATTTGTTTTAGTTAACAATGATAGCAAAGCTGAAGCTATTTCTGTCTTTTGGTAACCTTGAAAATTTCATCCCTGCCTTTACTTTATCTCACCTGAACTATTGCAAAAGTGCCACAGATGTAACACCTACAGTTGGTGATTGATTTTAAGATTGTAATGTTCTTTATCATGTGTTTGAATGTACAATAGAATTTATGTCTAAAAATGCATTAAAAAAACAAATTATATTCAGTGGCTTTAATATCTGTTTATATATATATATATATATATATATATATATTTTTTTTTTTTTTTTTTTTTTTTTTAAGACCTTTTTTAGAACCACTCATACAGAAAAACACATTTTGTATGAATCATACAGGTGAGATGCTGGTTGGATATTCACCTGGACTGATGACAGGCTTCACGCTTCAGTAACTTCAAAGGGACATCTTTATTTCCCAATAAAAACAAACATGAGACTCACAGATATAAAAACATTTAGCTGATGCAAACTGGGCTGACAGCTGGAGGCTACAAAAAGTTGAGTTGATGGAGTGAATTGGCAGAGGAACACTGAGGTAAACAAAACAGAGTTCAGACTTTCTGGACTCTCTGTTTACTGGCCAGTTTTAACATGAAGCACCTGGTAAACAAACCATCTTTGGATCTGCAGGAAGTGTCCAAATGAACAGAACCTGTTCAGAACCTGTCCAGATGTGAAATATGTTATTTTTTTCCCTTCAGCACTTTTTTTTACTTTACAACATTCAAGACAAAAACAAGAGGAGCAAATAAAGCACAGCAGCTTCACATGAAGCCAATCAGAGCATGCCAGCATGCAGAGGAAGTCTGTTGGATGAAGAGCACTTGGATTTTTTTTAATCATTTCTGTTAATCCCTGAGAGGGGAGGAGCACAGAGCATTAGCCAATCAGACATTCAGAAACCGTAAAACATATCCAGGTTTGGTCCTAGTTCTAGAAGCTTTACAGCTCCCACCACCCCCACCCCCATATCCTGCTCAGCATTACGGTTCTGGATCTCCTGTAAGACCCGATGGATCCACGTTTTCTCTCTTCAGTTTAGAAGTACTATGATATTTAGGATTTAGTCCATAATTCAGTCTTCTCCCACCATAAAAACACAGAAGATCCATTTAAAAGAATGTGTTTTGGCTGAGATTCTGGTCCATCTCAGTTCCACCATGACGACTGCTGCCTTCCAGCTCGATGAAGCAGACCATTTGGGTCTGCCGTACCTGTGATGACCCATGTGAAACTCATGTCCATTAGGATCAGCTGGTCAGGGAGCAAAGAGGAGGAGCCAACTGTGGTTCTTCTCCTGTACTAGACCCGATGGCCTGAAGGAATACTGTCAGCCCAGTCCTTCACACTTGGCAGATGTTATAGTAGACGGTGTGCGCCTGGCTCGGGCCGATAGAGTCGCATGTTGTCTCCAAGATGCCGTCTTTGTGGGTATGGATCTCTGTCATGGGAATGTTGATGCTGTAGGAGTTAGTGTGAGGGTTCTGTGTCCCATAAGATGGCACCGACTGTAGGTATATGCAGAAATTTGTTAGAATGCAATATTTATCTCTGCCTCCCTGAAAATATTAGTATGGTACAGTAATTTCATTGATTAGTTTGGTTTTGTACCTACAGTATTCAGTTTGCATCAGAACCTTTTTTAAGGGGCAAAAGTCTTATGCTATGTTCAGACCGCAAGTGCTGGTAGCAGCAAAAAAGCATCTGCTGCTACATTTTTGATGCTTGTTCACATTAAGGTCAGACGCGCGTCAAGAGCATCCTTGATGCTCCTGAGGTGCGTCCAGTATCGTGTCCAGATACTTCTGATGCTTCTGCTGCTCCTGTGTTCAATGGCAGAGAGTGGCTTTGCTATATTTGCTGTTATAAGTGGGTAAAATGTAGTTTTAATATGTTTTGAGTGAGAAAGTCCACCAGAAAACTTTATCTGTGCAGTCAGTTCATCAAGATCCTGATCCTGCCTTCAAATATTATTTCTCTGTCGGAGCCGCTCAGAAATTCTGTTCAAACAGCAGCCTCTGGCCCGGTCACCTTTTGGAGGTTTTCCGCTACTGTTCCGCGCGGCTAGAAGACGTTTTACATAATCCAAACTGCAGGCACCAGAATAATAAAATCGAAAATATTTTTGCTCGCAGGTTTCAACATTTGAAGTTAATTTAGGCGTTAATAAACTGTTTCAGAGGAGTGATCATAGCGATCAGCATCAGCAGTGCTGTGTCTCTCCCTGCCAGCTCAGAGTTCAGCTGCTCTGACTGGTCGATGTAGCGCATCAAGCAGCAAAAGTTAATTTTTCCCAACTCCAGCAGCTGCTGCTTGAGCAGCAATATGACTTTGCACGTAAACTAGCTGCTTCTGCTTCCTCTAGAACGTGTGGTCTGAACATAGCATTATGCTATAACCCAATGGTGTCTGATGTGCTTAATTGTTTAAACTCATGCAGCTTCCTTCAATGAAACAAGCCTGAAACATTTAACAGAAGACACTTAGAAGAAAATCTCTTTCTATGCTGATGATTTGTGATTTGGCATGATGAAATATCACAAGAATTATTTTCTTTGGTTTTCTCCCTCTGACAGCTAGCTCTTTATTTTGATAGTGCTTTCTTCCTTGATCACTTGTATGTGGTTCTTTTCTACTAAACTGGAAAAGTTGCCTCTGCCATTCTCACAAAACCCTCTTGACCCAATGTATGAGACTTTAGCCTAGACAGCTAGAAAGAATTACATAGAACATAATTCAGCCTGGTAAACCAACCCTGTGAGAAGTTCATTGTTGCTGCTTTTTGTTTATACCATTGATTTGTATAACCACCCTACTCTGCCTCCCTGTGCCAGTTTCAACGATTCATGATGAGGAAAGATTCATTGCTGATAAAAAAAATTTGAACCCTTATATATTTTCTGGCTTTAAAACTACTGGAAAATGAAAACTTCAGGTGTCTTTTTACCTTTCCTGTTTCATTTAGTGGAAAGTCTTTTCGACACAGGTGTGCAATGATCCCGGCAGCCAGAGCATCTCCAAGGACATTGATCATGGTCCGAAATCTGTCACTTTAAAACAAGAAGGAGGCGCTTGGTTAAAACATGATTTAAACCAGCTGTGCTCCAATACAGGACATTCAATAATACTTGATACTTACAGGACCCAATCAATAGCCACAATCAATGTGATGTCATCAGGAGGCAAACCAACAGAGGTGAGCACAATCACCATGGTAACCAGTCCGGCCTGAGGGATCCCAGCCGCTCCAATGCTAGCAGCTGTGGCTGTGATACTAGAAGATCACCCAAGACAGCCTATTAGTGCTAATAGGAAATCTAGTTGCTTTTTATTTATGCACTTAAGAGCAAATAAGAGTTTCATCTGCGTACAGCAGAATCAAAAATACACAGATCCACTTAAACTGTTTCTCTTCACACAAAAGGAAAGTCTTCATTAGTTTACCTGATGGTGACCAACTGGCCAAAGTCCAGCTCGTAATCGTTGACTTGAGCAATAAAGATGGCTGCCACAGCCTCGTACAGTGCTGTGCCATCCATGTTGATGGTGGCTCCTACAGGCAGGACAAAGCGAGCGATCTGCCGGTCAACGTTACAGTTCTCCAGCAGGCACTTCATGGTGATGGGTAGGGTAGCAGAGCTGAAAACGAAGAAGTTTCACTACTTTTTATCAGACCTGGGGATGATTCAGGATGTTGGAGCAGGACTGACCTGGAGGAGGTGGCAAGCGCAATGACCAGGGCTTGTAGCAGCCCCCGGATGTAAGTGAAGGGATTCTTCTTGGTGAGGAGAAAGAAGAAAAGTGGGAGAAGGATGAGGCCGTGGACGAAGAGGCCAGTGAGGACGGTGATGCCATACCAGCCCAGTTTCTTCCCCAGCGTGCTCGGGTCCTGCATGTCCAAGATCTTCCCTGCGACCAAGAAGATGATCCCGAACGGGAAGTACCTGAGGAGATGTAAACTGTCCTGAGCTAGATCCTAACTCCCCTCCACCCAAAAAAAAAACAGAGTTTCCTTTACACAAGGTTTCAGTTTCTAAAATGGACCATTAAGAAGGGTTAAGATAAATGAAGTGAAAGGTTTTTATTTTCTTGGTGAAAGGTTTCTTTCACCAAGAAAGTAAACTATTAATTTCTCATAAATATATCTTGTGGTGTAAAAAAAAAAGCAAATTAACCAAAATCAAACCAAACCTCCTGACCCATTCCAAATGCTTGCTATGCATCCAATTTAACATCCAGGTTTGTTCCCTGGACACATAATCAAACATTTTTGTAATATATATTTATAATGTGGGAAAATTTACAAATAAAAGATATCCGAATGATCTGGCTTTATCCAAGTTTTAGTCCCCTGTTGCTTTTTTATTCAAATTCAAATCAAATTCAAAATATTTTATTTATTCCAAATGGAAATTAAATTATGCAGTAATGAGAAAGCTTTTTTTTCATACTGCTTCACATTAAAAGTTTAATTTAAGACAAAAAAAATTATACACTGCAAAAACAATCTAGAAATAAGTAAAAATGTCTTAAATTAAGTAAATTTACTCTTAATTTGAGCAGGTAAAAAAGATATTTGCCAATAGAGTAGTTTTACTCTTAGAATAAGATAATTAGATAATGTGTACTTGAAATAAGACAAGTTGTTTTTTATTATTTTAAATGTAAATTGTCTTGTTCCATTGGCAGAGTGTCTCACTTACCTCCTCAATTGAAGAAAAAATGCACTTATTTCCAGAAAAAATTACTAATTTAGATTTAATTATTTTGCAGTGTACATTTACCAAACAGTTTATGAGACATTTTCTGTCTGAACAATTTCCTGGTCAGGTTCCCCTGAAAATGATCAGGTATAGCTGCAGAATTTAAAGTAAATTAAAAGCAACCAAAGTCCAAGAGACCCATAGAAAGCTATGATAACATTTTTCCAGACAATTTCAACTCACCATACAGCGGCATTGATGATCTTCATCACACACTCATTGATGCATTGACAGACGTTGACCAGCGGTAATCCACGCTCCCCCATCCTGCCAAGCAGCAGACCTTCACAAGACAAACAGTCATTTTAATTTCTCAAGAACATCCTAATGCTGTTCTGGACAATTTTTTTTTATCTGATTGAAATGTTCTTTCTGGAAACTGGAATGAAATAAAATTTCAAATAAAGTGTAGTCTGATTCTGATCCTAAATATAGTAAATAGTATCCTAAGTGTCCTGCATGAAGATTTAACGTTTTTTATTTATAAAGCTTTTATAAAAAAATTTTGGACTCAGTAGGAAACTTCAGGGTGTTTGTGTTTAATCCTCCTCCTCACCCATGGTGGCAGAGAAGATGACAATCCCAAGGACATTCATCTGCTGGCTGCTGCCAGGACTCGTCTTGTATATGACGTCTGGGGGCGGAGTCAGCTCCAGGTAGACTGTGCGTCCTTTGGGGTCGCTGTCGTCGGGCACCACGTAAATAAAGTTAGTTGTGATGGTTCGGGTTGGAACTCTGAGTATGGGGATCAGGTCTGTTTTGTACTGAGGGATCAAAGTCAGGTTGTCACAGAAAGGAAACGGAGCAGAACTGATGGTAACCTCAAAGTTGCGCGGAACTTACCTGCTGGAACGTGGCTTCGATCAGGTTGGATGGCACCATGTTTCTGCACAAGAATATGATAATAATTATTACCAGCTGAACTTGATGCTGTTTCCCCCTGTTTTTGCCTCTTTAATGGCGAAAGAAAACAAAATTGGCAGTTTTTTGTGCTTTTGCTCATCTAACATTTACCTGGACAGCAAAGGCGAGCAAACCAGTCTCTGCTGGGGTTTTTTTCACCTCAACAGAGGAAGTTTGCAGTATGTTTGTTTTATATCTGTGAAGATTCTGTGTTATCCAGGTCATGGTCAAGCTTGAAAAAGTTCAGTCTAGGCAACAGTGTTAGGATTCCAGTTTGTGTGGGTTGTTTTTTGTGTTTTCCTCTCTTGACCACTAGGCGGTGCCCTGTCCTCGTTGGGCCTCCCTGCACACCTGCGGCTCGTTGGGTCATTACCAGAGGAGTACTTGAGCAGCGGGCTGTCACCACCTCGACGCCAGAGTGTTTGCCAGTATTGGGTACTCTAGCCAAATGGAGATTAGCAGAGTCTAACCTTAGCATTGTTTCTCTGAGTCTGAACTTGTTTTTTGTCTTTGTTCTTGGGCAGGAAGACTTCCTGTGTTACTGGATAAGCCTGGACCTTCTACCCCTGGAAGGATTTACTGAGTCTCACTGAGCAAGGGGAAAACCTCCACATGACCCATTCAAGTCCGCTCCTGGAAAACCAAGTGACATTCCGCCCCTTTACTCCTCTGGGTCGAACGTATGTCTGCCTGTCCACTCTCCAACAAGTTCCCTCTTCTCTGGATTAACCCCCACAAACTGGATCCGAGGATAAACCAAGAGCACCCCCAAAAGTGAGTGCCTCTCCAGCAATATTAAAGCCTATTTTCTATTTTCCCACTGTCCCCGAACTGATCACTGTGATCTCCCCTTCAGAGTTTCCGGTTCCGGTTCACCAGTCCCCTAAGTTCCAGCATGGTTTCCCCACAGAGTTTTAATCTCGATCAGTGTTTGCTAACCTACAATAAACCTGTTAAACTTTTACCCTTCTTCTCTGAGATGTTCTCTGCATGTGGGTCAGATCTTTAAAGCCCATTATAACAAACAGGACATTAGTGATGGGGAGCAATGAGATTAATATACTGTAGGTCTAACAAAGAATTAGGGGGGACAAAAGGTGGTTTTGATCCTTCCAACTGGATTGACCAAGGAGGTCACATATGGGGTGTTAATGGTCGTCAGGGGGTACTGATGAGTCCTAACTCCCTCGTCAGAGTGGTTTTGGTCACATGCCTCCGGAGGAGATGTAAGGACAGCGGTACATCAGAGAAATCCGCCCAGCAGACAGTGCCAGAGCAGGGAGAGAGAGGGCGGCGGCTGGCCAGAGTCTGCGCTGCAGCTAAGGGAGGACGTCAACTGTCCCTCTGTGCTAAATTGAAACAGCTTTATTTAAACCCTCTTACACACCTTACAAATCCTAAGAGTATTCCCAAATTCATCCTTTATCAAAATAATTTTCTTTATCTTCGATTTTTGACTTTGAAAAAAGCTTGTCTCCACTGCACACCTTCACTGTAGGTCACAGCACATCCAGTCCCTGGTTGGGTTTCGTGAGACAAATCTAAACTAAAATACACATTTTTCAACTCCAGCAAATTTTGTCTGGTGCATTTCTCAAGGGCTTTCTCTCAGAAAAATGTGTGTTTAGACCAGACAGCTTTATGAACCTTGGCCAAATTCAAAGTAAATCTAGGAAGTGTTTAGTCCTCAAACATGATGCAGTTGGAACCCTAAAAGTAGCTGGTGGACAGGAAACACAGAAGAGGTAATCAGACTTCCTTCTCTCCAATTTTAATGCTAGTAGGTCGGCTAGCTAAATGATTGTAACAAAGCAATATTGTATTACATCGCTTTTTGTTGTGGATCCCGGGTCTGCAACCTTTAAAATCATAAGAGCATTTTTCCCTGAGTCTAGCTAAAAAAAAGGCATTTAGAGCTGCAACTATTAAATTGCCTTTCAATAAATCACTGCTTATTATTGTTAAATATCTGATATAGCAAATATATTGCCATTTCAAATAACTGATACTTTTAGCCTTTAAAAAAGGGAAAACAATAAAGTGTTTCGTAAAGATGAAGCTTGGATTTTTCTAAATGATTTCTAAATGATTTCTAAAAAAAATTCTGTTTTTTAATGTAATTCTGAAAATTGAATCAAAGATTCTTTAAAAAATACCAAAGCTTCTAAAACTGGTGTCTTTTATTTTACTAAATTAGTTGATTCTTTATGACATTTTTAAGGCATTTTAGAGAGTCCAAAGAGCCACATCTGGCTCCAGAGCTGCAGGTTATAAACCTCTGGCATGTAAATTTTACACTACATATATGTGCTTGTTGAAGCTCACAATCAGGTTTTTGCTTGATACAAACAGTTGCAAAAGTTGATGTTTAAGCAGCTTAGCAGCAACCACTGATTCCAATGGCATGCGATGGGGAGTAGGTGTCACAGTAAAACCATGTAAGACTAATCAAAAACATAAAAGTTCATCAGAAATAAATTTTTGCTAGTGTGAAAATTTATATTCCATTATATATACCGCTAGAGTTGACTCTGAATGGCATAAAAATGCACAAAAACCACCAAATTATGAACATCCCCTTAAATAAATCAAAACAAACTAGGGCCATTTGCATTTGGTTATATAGTGTTAAAGTCGAAGATGCCATCATAGATCAATTTCTACAAAGCCACTAATTTAGACAAAGCAGACAGCGCTATCAGGACCTTTTGGCAGGGAAGTTCATGAATCAGTCTCGTCTGCCCAGAACGTCTCCAGGAATCTTGATCGGATTAAAATATGTTGGAGAGGGTGCTTCCCCGAGAGAACAAATGGATGCTGGACCATGTGCAGTCCAGTGTAGCACAGTGCTCCTGCTATCAGCAGTATACCCACAGATTTCTTCCTGTGGACTCCATGAAAGATTAAGTAATAAGTACTTGAACACCTGCTATTTTGCAAGTTATCCCACTTAGAAATCATGGAGGGGTCTGAAAGGGTCATCGTAGGTGTATGTCCACTGTGAGACACAACTAATGATCTAAAAAATACAAATAAAAAACACAGACCTTGCAAAATAGCAGGGTGTTAAAATATCTATATTTCTCACTGTAATTGGAACATTTTGAAAAAAACCTACCAACAGGAACATTCAGAAATCAGTGATTTTATAAGTCAATGGTCATAATGTTTTTGCTGTTAAGTGGTGGATAAAGCCCATTCATTAGAACAGGCAGGAATCCTCAACATATTTCAACATTAGGATCAGTATGTTAAAAAAAAAAAAAAGATAAGCACACCTGAACATGTATCATGTAGACATAATATAAATATAATCTGGAAGAGTCTTGTCAGTTCCACCTGCGATATTCCTCACTCAGCTCCGGCCAGTCAACTCGGGGGGACAGCACCTTCTACAAACACAATCATCTTGCAAGATCCCCTTCAGCTCTTGGCCTAGCTTCTCTCTTCCACATGCAAGCCAACTTTCACCCACCCCCACCCCATCTCCCCCCTCATTCTCAGTCCCCCTCACCCTCTGGCTTACTCTACGACCAGTGTCCGGGCCCCGGTGGAAGACTACTCTAATCCTTTTCTAGGTTACTCATCCAAAGGTACGTCGATTTACAGCTTCAAAGTCTTCTGCCGGGGCCCGAACACCAAATAACTTATTTTGTTTATGTCTTCTTCTGTCCACTTAAACCCCAGTCTGCCTCGGCAGATGGCCACTTACACTGAGCCTGGTTCTGCCGGAGGTTTTGTCCTGTTAAAAGGGATTTTCCCACTCCACTGTCGCTACATGCATGCTCAGTGTGAGGGATTGAGGAGAGTCAATAAGTCCTTGCAATTAGCTGGTTTTCCTTAGATAGAAAAATGTTGAAGAATATGATTGTGTTGCCTGTATAAATAAATGAAACATTTTCCAATTGCAGCTTTTCACTGTTTGAGTCTCTCCCCGTTGAATTATTTATTTTAAATTGAGGGTAAATAACTAATATCTCTGCCAGTTGGATCTCCCTCTGTTATCTACAGCATCAGAAATCCCTGCATTTGTTGCAACATAATAAAAAAAAAGGCTGGAACTGTTCCTTAGCTCCACATTGAGGGTCTGGAGGGTTCTGCACACTCAGAGGTCAGCAGGATCACGGTCAAATATCCGACCTGCACTTGTCAGTGCGTGCACGAGAGCTTGGTCTGCTAACGTGCAGCAGCAGAGATCACTGCCTCTGCTAATCTGTCACTCATCCTGCAGGATTACCAAAAATACACTGATCAGCCTGCACTCTAATGGGATGATAAGGGGGGTGTTGAAGCAAGTCCTGCGGTTTGCTGACCCTCGGCCTGTAGGTATCGATCACTTTCCTTTAAAACACGGAATCCTCTCTGCTTCATTCATGAAAGTGAAACAAGCAGCACCTCTCAACTTTCTTCCCCTTACACTGAAATAAGCTGTTCATTGCTGGACATTACATCATTGTTGAACGCTAGCCAATCACAAGCTGGCATTGGAAACAGAGCATCAGAAGGGACACACCTCTCCCCCATTCTGCGCCTGATCTTTTATAGTTTACACTTTAACTTATATCCCAGTTTTCAAATTAGATTTTTGACTAAATACAAACTAAGAGTTGCCTAATGAAGCAACTGTCAAACACAGATGCTGTGTGGAGAGTTTATCTGGTAGAATGGTCATATGCAGACTGCAGCTGCATAATGAGGCTCTTCAAAAACAGATTGAATGATGATGAAACGGATGAAACTTGTTCCCTCAGAGGGACTGAGAAACCACCACTGTTCCAGTCCCCATGCAAATCTAACAGGAGCAGACGGCTCAGTAAACAGAAGATCTTGCACGCACTTGCTAGTGGATGGCTGATCAGGATCAATATGAAGGCTGGAGAAAATTTTCAATAAAGGGAAGAATATTGGATCTATTCTCTCTAGCCAGCGCAATGAAAAAAGCAGCAGACATTGCCCCGCCAGCAGCTGGTGTTTCACACTGCTTACTACGCAGGACTTTGATCTGTTTTTAAGTTCTAAACAGATCAGCACACAAAATTTTACAGAATGACGTTGGTGGTTCAGAAAAACAGCTGAATCCTCCTGGAGTAAACTAAGGCGGTGAAATTACCTCTGAGGACAAAATGACACTATGACTGTGAGAAGTGACGTCACTATTTCAATACAGTGGTGAGTTCAGTCATTACAATCTACTACAATTACTCATTGCTTTTTTGATTAGGGACCCAATTATTTTCAGTATGATACTGTGATGTTAACACAAGAAAACACTGGTCTCTCAACATGACACACACCTTATACTGATGGCTCTCACAACACAATTACATCGGACTCCTTTGACCAAAAATTCTAAGTGTTTGAACGTTTGGATCTACTAGATGGTGCTGCTGTTTGTGAGACGTATCGTGTTCACTTCGTTTTTTTAACTGATACATTCTGTGGTGCTGCTCAGGCTATTTCCTTCTGAACTAAATTCTCTTTTCTGTGATATCTCTAAGTTACTATTACTGCCAAAAGCACCTTTAAACATAGCTTCTCCTGCTGCACTTTTTAAAAAGTTTTATTTTTGGCGGTTTTATTTCTAGGCTAGCTCTAACTTAGCACCACTACGGCCGCTCTCTCTGTCTCTCCTGACTCTTTTCCAAATCGTTCTAAATCTTCATCTCCCTTCCTTTCTCTGTGTTGGTTTGTGTAACAAGTTTAGTATTTTTGTAGCTTTCGAGGCAAGGGTGTCAGAGTTACAGTTCCGGCTTTCATTATTTGAACATCCAAGAGTTAGACCAGGCCCAATATTTAACAGCTCCAAGTCACCAAGACTAGTGACACATCCATGTAGTGGTCCTCCAACAGTTCCTGAGCAGCCAGGAAACAGCTAGGTGGTACGCATAAAGCATAATCCTGGATTTTTACCCACAGGTCACCACAAGTCCATTAAAGTTTCTAACTGATTTTCCAAAGTCAGTGACACACCTGTCGAGAAGGCCACTCTGGTTATTGCCATGTCAGAAACATGGCATTAAGCCGGCGTACACTGTGTGATTTTTTTCAATCGTTGCACGCAGCTGCTGCTCACACTGTATGATTAACCGCAGGGTTTAGTCGTACAGTGTGAGTTCACAGCTCACGATTTATGTTCCGCCCGACACTCTGATGCGATCTACCTGCTCACACTGTACGACTAAAAACCACATCGGACTGAGTTCCACAGTGAGATGGAGCTGCTCTGTAGCTCTCTATCTTGAATCCAAACAAATAGAAGGGGGATATTCAGCCTCTATAGTAAACCGTGCTGCCTTGTCAATTTGTGCAATTTTGTGCTGAAAGTCCTTAAAAGACATGTTTTGACAAAGACATGGCTGAGCAAACGTGGCTACTACGGTCTGTCAATTTTACAGACAGAACTGCATTTCACTCATTGCATCCCTGCCATGCTGCTGTTTCAACATATTCTCATTATCAGTGCGTATGAAATCGGACGAAAAGTTATGCACACTATTTCGACGTTTTTCCTCAAAAAACCACATCAGTGCGCATGCGCTGGCAGACAGAAAAAAAAAAGCAGATCCGCGGACGAACTTAAAACTGGGAAAAATAGTGCAATCATCACTTATTCATGTCTCTAACTACGTTGCTTGCTGTTTTATATCTTAGGGTTATGGTTAGGGTCAGGGTTAGGGCTAATTGTAATTTATATTCTATATTCGTGAATGGTGCGTCAGACGAAAAAAACGTCCAAAACGTACGAAATTACGGTGCATAACTTTTCGTACGATTTCATACGCACTCATAATGAGAATAGGTTGGCTGTTTTTACATCTGACAGAAAGAATAAAAAGAAGAATCTAACCACTAGGCCCAAACTCCCCTGGTGGATGTGTGGTTGTACACATTTAAAGTTTCTTGAATTAATAAGGTATCCATTGTTTACTGTTGGAAAGCTCTGCGGACTCACCGATGTTACCACTCCCTGTGCATGTGACCCAAAAAGCCAAAATAGTTGCTATTTAAGTACATTTTGATTTAGCCAATTCCTCAGATATTTCTTTAAACACAAATAAAAGTGAGGCTCTAACCTGAAATCTGCTCTCTAAGAAGGAACATCTGCATTGATGGGCAGTGATTATGGATAAAAACAATACATTTTTCTAAAATATTACATCACAGAAGTTCTAGAGTGGTGCAAAATGAAAGTATTAATTTTACTGTCAAAAAATATAATACTTGACAGTGTGGTTCCGTCACTATGCCTCCTACTGATGATGCGCCCTGTCTGCTTGGCCAAAGGGATACTAGTCAACACACATTACTTTCACCCTGGAGTCTGAGGATCAATTCTGTCTGGGCCCTCTGTTGTGTACCTTGCTACAGTATATAAATAATTGTTTTATAAGTAGTAACGAGTCCAAAATATGTAAATATTTAATTCTGGTTTTAATGTAGACATCAACAGGATTGGATTCTTTAACAATAAGTAGGTTGAAGTCTCGTGAGACAGAGTTCAGATGTTACTAGATCCTGGTAGCTCCATAATAGAGCTGAGAAATGGTTTATTCTCAGCAGTATATTTCTAAGATTCAAGCCCAAAAAAAAGAGAAAAAAAAATCAAAAGTGCTGGTGACCATCAGTCAAGCTTTTGCCTACTTGAGGATGCAATAAGGCTCAGAACACGCGCAACGGTTTCCACTTTTCTTATTAACTGGTGAGATAATAACTGGTTTGGTTAGCAGTACAGAAGGAGAGCAGGCGAGCACTACTTTGCCACTTATTGGCAGGGAGGAGTTAAACTTGTAGCTACCACCTTAAAATAAAATATATTATTAGCTCTTCAAGGTACTAGTTGTTCTGTAATGTTCCATAAAAAACACCTGAGGCCTGATTACTGGTTAGTGTAGCCTTGTGTTGCTCTCTCCTGGCCAATTCCCGGTAAAACCCACAGATGTTTCAGATGGAAAATAGAAACACGAAAAAATTAGGTCTCTGTGAAGCTGATCTCTTTTTTGACTCTAAAGCAGATAATTCAAAAAAAGAGTTTAACAGAGCAGTGACCCTCTGCAGGGGACAGATGACCTTCCCTCACCTGATCAGGTCAAGCAGGGCGTCTGCTGAGGTCATGACCGGTCCTCCACCCAGACGGTTACTCTCCATGTCTGTCCCTGCTCCAGGCTGGATGATGAGGACCAGCATGATGCCGACCACGACGGCGATGAAGGTGGTCCACAGGTAGTAGGTGACAGTGAGGACGCCCATCCTGCAGCACGCCTTGGACTCCATGGAAGACAGACCAGACATCAAGCTGCAGACAGACAGGAAGACAGACGCCTAAAGCTGGAAGTCCGACACAGATAACCTTCCGTAGGAGCTGCAGGACCAAAATTTTATCACTTATGTGACTGTTTAATGTTTTACCCTGGGGCATTAAAATAATACACGTCTTTCAGTATGTCCAAAAACATGAGATATGGTGACTTGCATGGAGGTTTGTTCACACAAAGCTGAAAAATATCAGAAATAACCTTATAGAAGCAATTGCTACTGGCCATCAATCTATCTGAGGTTATAAAACGATCTCCAAACTACCCAGTACAGAGGAGAACGTCTCAGGTAGCTGCTTATTATCCCAACAGCTTCAGTCCCAAGATCAGAGCAGGGAGTTCAGGGAAATTAACAAAGAACTGAGGTCTACATGTTGTCATTTTGTTTTGGTTCTGTTCAAGTTTTATCTCCGAATTTTCATTGGTCTTATTTCCATTTTTGTGTTGTAGTTATTTTTTACTGTGCTTGAGTTCTTGGATATTTCTTATTTGCCCTCTTGTGTCAGTCTCCTTTTCCCTAGCTCCCTTCTTGCCTCCTCTGTTCACACCTGCTCCCAATCTACTAATTAGCCTGGTCTTTGTTTCTTTCTCCCATATAATCTCCTCCTGTTCAGTCACTCTTTGCTTGTTTATTCATCATTTCTTTGCCCCTTATTGTGAGTATTCCTGGTTTTGAGTAGTTTTGAAGTTTAATGGATTTATGTTTTTGCGTCTGTTATCCTTTTTGTTATTAATTCTTCAAGAAACCACTCCTGCTTCAGTGTCTGCATTTGGGTTCTGTCAAACCTCCACTCCACTGTGAAATATTTTAGAGCAGTGGCAGTATCCAGTACCCTCATTGAGGGGGGATGGCATCCCCCGCTTCTGTAACATTTTATAATTGAATGTGTAAAATTTCTAATATATATTAACAGCAGTGGCAATAATATTGCCCTTTTAACATTTTGCTTCCAAGTAGCCTGAACAAAATAAATAAAATCAAACAAGTGGCCTACCATGACTATGAAGCTGATCCCAGTTGGAAATTTGTTCTCTGCATTAGTCCCTAACTATGTAGGGGTAGTGATGGCCTTGTCAGTCCAGGGACTGACCGCAGATCTACTGTAAGGTGCCTTGGTCAAGACCGGTGTACCTGACATGTAACAACCATAACAACCATACCATGCATATTGCTTTAGGTTAATAGACTATATTAAGTAAGCAATGTAGGTTTCCAAAATAAAAAAAATTTCACCATCCCCTTCTTTCTTTTTTTTTTTACAACTAGACTACTGGCTGTACTAGACGTAATTAACAAGGGGGGGTTAGGATAGGGCCCGCATTTTTTCGTGGCAGGACCGTTCAAAATCATAACACAAACTAGGGCAAAAACTCATTGTTTAGTATATAAACTGAGCCACAAAGTCAATGCTACAAACTTCTCACCGAACAGATAAAAACAGGGATACTTTCTTAGTATGGACGAAGTTTAAAGCTGTAGTTTCTAAACAACTGTTAAACTAAATTGTCTGGAGAAAATATTAAATTGGTCCAAAAGACAAATCAGCAACAGTGTCTTCAACATCATAAGAAGCCACTGCAAAAACTGATCTAAATAAGAAAATAATTCTTAAAATTAGTGCATCTGTTTTTAGTTTGACCAGAAAAATAAGTTGATCTACCAAAGGTATGAAAACTTCTATCTTTAAAACTATATAATTTGATAGTATGAAACAGAATTAAAGTTGTTTTCTTTTTTCCTATTCAAAATATGAATCATCTTCCATCTGTAAATTGTCTTAACTCCTTCAGTCAGGGGCAATACTCTAAGAAAACTTGACCTATTAATATTTACATTTTTGCTGTGTGTTTTCACTACAAGGTTTAAAAGCAAGATGTTACTTAAAAGCAGGATTTAGGTTAGAAGAGCTACATCTGGATGAAGGACAGGACTTATAGGACTGTGTCCTCTGAAAACAGACCTGAAATATTTGGAGTATACCAAAAAAAGCAGATCAGCACAACTGCACCAACCAACCAACCAACCCTCCCTCCCCCTATTTATTCCATCAGGGTCACAGTGGGGCCAGTACCTATCTCTGGCAGTCTATGGGCAAAAGATGGGGTATACCCTGGACAGGTCGCAAGTAAATTAACCTTAAAACCATGTTTTTTTACTATAGGGGGAAGCTGGAGTACCCAGAGAGAACCCATGCATGCACAAACAGAATATGCCAACTCTATACAGAAAGACTTTGGGACGGGTCTCAACCCAGAACCTTCTTTGTGCAGAAATTGTGCTATAAACTATACCACAATGCAGGACCCCGACTGTAAAACAGTGTAATGTGAATAATATAAATAAGTCAATCTTTCATGAAATCAGCATTTTCTCCCTTGATTTAAGCAAATAGGCAACATATTTAAAATAAGAAAAAAAAAAATCCATTATCTTATTTCAATGGAATTATATTTAATTATATTATTTACTTGTTTTTAGATCAGTTTTGTTGTGTGTTGGTGGAGGGATAATAGCTGCTTACTTTGCAGTTCCAGGACCTGGATGTGTTGCATCAAGTTAATGCTATCAGCTCAGGTACCATTAAATCAATGATAACAGCCCTGAGAGTAAATCCCTTCAGGTTTGGCTTGATCTCTTTGAACTCAAAGCCAACAGGAAACAGCTCCAGAGCTAAAGACGCTCCTGTTATAACCACTTTCACAACATTTGGATTAGAATATGCTGACCCAGTTTTATTGCTCTTACCTGGATGTGATGAGAGGAAGGATGAGCATCTTTAGCATCCTCATCAGGAGCTCACCAGGGAAAGAGAAGTAGATCTTAGCCTGTAGGAAAAACAAAGTCCCAAGATTTTAAGAAGATTAAAATATGTTTGGCTTCTGTGCAGAAAAACATCACAGGGAAGAAGGTTATAGGCAGAGATGGCAAAAGTACTCACTTTCCGTACTTGAGTAAAAGTACAGATACTTGTGTTAAAAAATACTCTGGTAAAAGTGGAAGTACTGATTAAACGTCTTTACTCAAGTAAAAGTAACAAAGTACAGGCTTGTAAATTTACTTAAAGTATAAAAGTAAAAGTAGAAACCACTTTTTTCATGCCGTTTCCTACATTTTAAATGGATGTCTGCCAATAGGACTAGATCTCCGTTGTGTTCATTTTCAATCATCTCGTCGTCCATGCTACTATGCTAACGCCACCGCCACCAAGCTGCAATGATTTGCCGCCAATGAATACCGCCGAATCTGTCGATTCATTTTGTAGTGGTGCGTCAAATGCAACGTAGATTCCCATCCAATTAGATTGAATTTGGTATTGATGACGTGAAAAATAATAACGGTAACTCCACTGAAATGATTCCAAACTAAAGTAACGAGACAATTTTTTAAAATGTAAGGAGTAGAAAGTACAGATATTTGTGTAAAAATGTAAGGAGTAGAAGTAAAAAGTCGCCATAAAAATAAGTAGTAAAGTAAAGTAAAAATATCAGAAAAATCTACTTGAGTACAGTAACGAAGTATTTGTACTTTGTTACTTCCCATCTCTTGTTATAGGTTAGTGATTCTTAGCCTGGATCCCTCCACCTGTCACAGGTGGTGCCTATGCACACATGCAGGTCCAGATCTCTATCTGTACAATAAAACCGCCTGATCATTCGCTCTAAGGTCAGGGCTGGGAAAGAGTTGGGACATTCCAAATAGTCGTCAGAAGCTGCTGGTTATATAGTTAAATATTTGTTTGATTACTGATGTGATGAAGGACAATAGAGCTGCCCAGGTGTGCTGCAACATCAGCAGAGCAGCACGGTCTGAGGTTAAATAAGGACACTTGAGAGGGTTTACAGACAGACAAGGAGGACATATTTTCACTAAACTGTTACAATCTAAGACAAATCTGTCTCAGAGAGACCGAAAACAAATCCTCCATGGATCACAGCACTGGTTCTCTTCTCAGGAAGGATCAGAGCAGAATATTCCTGCTAACGAACTGGGGTCTTTCTGAGGGCAGGGGAACCACTGAGGGCCTTTGTTGAACCTGTGATGGCATCAGCCATCTTCTATGATGCAGTTAGTTGGAGCTGCAGCTTATCTATAGGTGAGAGCAATAGGTTAGATAAGCTCATCAGGAAGATCAGCCCTGTCCCAGGATTACCCCCGACCCAGTGCAGCTGGCTCTAGACTGAAGGACTGTAGCAAAAATAGCATCTGTGTTTGACAACAACCCCTCTGCATGTACGGAGCTGTCACAGAGCTGGAGGCACCCAAGGTGCACAAAGGAAAGTTTTCACAGATCCTTCCTCCTAGCATCTGTCAAACCATAGAATCATCACTGCTCAAAAGAAACTCAATACGTTTTTAAACACCTATTGCATGTTGACATTTTATTCATTCTTTTAAATTGTTTGTTTGAGTTTTCTCTGCAAACTGTACATGTTAGGAGTATTTTTCAAAATACTCTGCTCAGTTTCACTCTACTCAAACTTTTAGTAACATTTAATTTTATGTGTTGCACCTTATTTATTATGATTATGCTGCACAATCTCTTGTTCTTACTGTCTTTCACTCTGTTGCTGAAACAGCTGAATTTCTACTCTCAGGAGCAATAAAGGACATTACATTGATCTAAATTCTCCGTTACCAGGAACCACATCAGTATTTAACACTTTATTTTTATAGTCTATATTTGAAGATGTATCTTTCATGAGTGTATCTTTCAGCTCTTGTTGTTCTTTATGAAATAATTAATCCTAATAACTACCATGTAGTCCAGAACGGATGGTATGTGTTGTAATTGTCATTGTATCTATGGATTTAGACAGCCAAATATTTTTTTATTAATGCATTGCCATGGGAAAAGAATATAAAATTGAAGAAATTGTGTAATTAATTATAAATTAATTATAAAGAAAAATCTTCCATTTATGACCACATTTAAACTTGAAAAATTGAAGCCTGAATAATTGACAGAAACCTGAAGCCAGATCTAATGGATCATACATTAGTGCTTTGAAAGGATTGCAAAACACCAACTATAGCACTTGAGTTTGAGAGTCAATATTAAGTATTTTAATGTTGTTTACTTTGAACAACGTCCCGCTAGTATGAAAATGTAGATTTTTTTATTTAGATTTCAGCAAATTAAGTTGTTTTTCTCTGTCAGGTTCATCTTGGTGCATTTAATGACTACTAGGAAAACAAATAACGAATTCTATTTTTACAGATGGTAAATTAATGCATCACCGTGTCCATCTATACATGCTTCCCCTGAAATTTTAACAGCACCAGCAGTGATGAACTGGTCTGAAACCAGTCGGTACTGACTGAACCTGGCTGACCCAAGAACCTCTAATGGTAGCACAATAGATATCTTTTGAACATTAGAATTAAAAATACCAACCAAGCATCAATAAAAACCTGAATGATAAATGGAAATGCTTTTTATACTAAAATATCTTTCCTGATGACATAAAACTTTTTAAGTCTCTAGCTTCACTTCACTATTTCTGTCCAAACTGTTGTAGAATCTACATTTCTAAAAGAAACGTGTAACTTTAAACCTATAGGGCTAGTAGACCTGTAGCTCCCAGATTTAGCGCTGTAGAAAACTACTAGCTACTCTACACTTTTACCAATTACATATGTGATTAAACCACTTTGGGCCAGCAGATTGGGGAGTCATGGAGTTCCTGATAAATCCAAGGCCACATTTAAATATGAAATCCTAGAACCAGATAATCAGAAATATGTCTGATCAGTTAAGGGTCATTTCTGCTTTGTTAGTGAACAAGTGTTAGAATAGTTTTCTCCTTTGTTTAAGGGGAGCTCAGAACGATGTGCTCTGGGTCACTTGACTCATTCAGTGACAATCCAACCCTTATAAGTTACATCGGAGAGTTGCTGAGAAAGGAAACTAGCATAGAGCATCAATATGCATCATGAGCTGCATAGTTGCCTTAAATCATTTGATGTATCTCAAATTAAGCTAATATTTGGGAAGAAAGTTTTGCAGTGTTGCTTTAAGATAATCAAATTGATTGTTGCGTGATAAACTAAGGCTCTTTACATTGCCTTATGCCCAAAAGATGCTCCACAAATAAAGCTTTGCTTCCTCTTACAGGGACAGATTACTGAGGCTGGATTATGACTGAGGACTGTTAAAAGCTCCCAGGCAGCATTTGACAGAGGCAGTCCGTCCTGCACAGAGGTCAAAGGTCATCTGCCTTTAAACCCACAGGACCGATTTCCCAAGAAACTGATCAACTAAACCAAGAATCAGCTTCAAACCCAAAGGAGCTTAAAGAGGAAAACACCCAGACGACTTCTTTCTCTAGATCCCTGAAAGTCCTTCCAGCTTATCAGTGACTAAAAATAATATAAAATAGTGTAGCTAAACAATCTTTTTTTTTAAACCGCGTTTGAGTCCACACCTGAAAAGTTGTCTCGGCTTTAGGAACTTAAAATAATCTAAGGAGGAAAAAAGGAAAATCAGAAAAACTTTCACATTTTGCTTTTTAAATTAAGTTTACAGAGGATTTTGAAGCTGGTAATTTAGTGTATCTCAAAGCAACATAACGTCTGTTTTAGATGATTGAATCAAAGAAAACCAATTACAAATCTACAACACTGATTTTTTTTTTTTTTTATAAAGTAAATTTATATTTAGTTGTGAAAGGAGACAAGCTGTTCCGTAAATTAGGTTTCTGAAATAAAAATATCAAACAAAGGTTTCAATGAATGAATCAGTTCTTAGGGTTTTATTGGTCTGTGTTGTGTATGGAGAGACATTTGTTCCTTTATGGTTGAAAGCAAACTTTCAAAACTTCAAAAGTTAGTTATTTAATTTATAATGTGTACTCAAAAAGTTCAACCAATATTTTTATATTTTTTCCTAATATTATATAGATTTTATCTTTATCAGGGGTTTTTTCCAAATTTTTACTGTTGTTTTTTACAGATTTTATATTTTCCAGAATTTTTTTATTTATTTATCTTTTTTCCATTAAGGGAGAGAGATAGACTGAATTTTAACGTAGCTCAATTAAATGTATTTATATAGCGCCAATTTACAACTAATTTAATCTCAAGGTACTTTGCAGAGACAATTCAACCAGATTGGTAAAACATTTCTCTCTAAGAAAAACCTGTTGATTGCAACCATGTTGATGGCATTTACTTGCAAGACATGCTTCTTGCAGCAACAATATTCCTTGCATTTGTGTTTGACTCTTCTTCCATCCTTCACGCCAAAAATGCATGTAGCAACAGTGCGGAGGAAAACTCCCTTTGAACAAAAAGAAACCAGCAGAACCAGGCTTAGTGTGAGCGGCAATCTGCAGAGGCCTGGGGTTCAAGGAGACAGACTTATAAAACAAACATAGAAGCACATATATAATAATCATTTCTGTGTATGTCAGAAAATGAAACAGTAAAGTAGCTCCACATGTGGCTCTGTCTGGGAAAGAAACAGTTAAGCAGACGAGTTCTGATGCAGTTTTCATGTCAGTTGAGGAAAGAAATAATCAAGTTCGTCACAGTAAAAGCTGAGCTCATCACTATGTCTAGGAGAGAAATAGAACTAAACACTGGACAACAGGTTAAATATAATATATAATCCAAGGTGTTGACGGCAGCAGCCCAGCTGGTATTTTTCTCCAGAATGGGGTCAGAGCCGAACAGGAGCAGAATGTTACAGTTACAATGACTAAGAAAGAAAGAAAACAGTGAGAGCATAACATTAGAGGTTGAACTAACAAGTACTGCAGAATGGGGGAATAGAGATAGAATGAAGCAGACTTATGAAAAGTGGTCCCTATGTCCTCCAGCAGTC